TTATGGAAAACAGATAATCTTAGAAAATGCATAATATTATTTCTCTTTATATGTTTGTAGGTGTAAAGTGAGGATATGGCATATATATGACAATTCCAGGGCAGAAAGATTTAGAAGTTTGAATTCTAAAAGTTAATAAGAAATAAGTGGTGTCTTTTTATAAATCCAATCACAAGAGCATTTCACTCATTTCTTGTTTTTCTCCTAAAAATGACTGACTGTGTGACCATGGGCCCCTCATGTGACCACGAGCTCTAGAACCATAGCCAAAGAGTGTGTTAGATCCCTTGTATTAGTAGAACTAAAATCAAAGATTTCTTTACCTTGTTGTCCTCAAAAAAGATCAATCTAGTGGGGTCAGGTATAACCTTAATCTCATTTAGTTACCACAATGGAGGAAATGCAAGACTGTAAATGGTGGGAGGCTATTTAGTATGCAACTGAGAAAATAAACTCAAAAAAAAAAAAAAAAAAAAAAAAGAAAATCACTGGGAGGTATGGAGGTGAGGGAGGGGGAGGAAGTCTTTTTTTTTGAAAACAGCAATTATTGAGAGGACAGAAAAGCTCCCACAAATGGAAGGGGATACAAGGGGATTGCCCTGAGAAGGAAGTCTTAAGAGGGCCAAAGTCCTTGTTTTTATATTGTGGAGTCAACAAACAGATGCTTGTGTTGATAAACCAAGAAATGGACATTAGGTCAGCATTAAATTGGAAGAAACTAAAATGATAATGTGTACAAGAAAAACTCAAAGCAAACTTTAGTGGTTGCCTCTTCAGAGGATTAGGGAAGCAAGGGAAGAACCTTGGCTTCTCACTTTATACTGTTCTATAATAATTTAGCTATTTCCATCACATGCATGCCTATACAATTTTAAAATTTAGATAATTTTAAACAAAAGGTTAAATACAACAGTAACTGATAATGATGTATACTAAATTGCCCTTTCCTGTATTAATAAGACACAGGAAAAAAAGTACCAGAGATTAAAAGTAAATACAACTTAAATAAGGAAGTTAGCTCTTTCTTCAAAAGTGGTAAGAAATTTAATCTTGGCATCTAAATCCTTCACGTGAATATTTTCACCTACTGGCAAACATTCAAGTAAAACCATAAAGAGAAAAACTCTTCCAGGAGTCAAATAGGAAAATCCATAAAAAGGCTTCATAGTCAAACCAAACAGTTCTGCCACTCTCCTTTAATCTTTAAGATAAACATAGTTTCCTCTTATTCACCTTAAGGTTTCCAGACAGATTACACATAAAAGCAAATGTCTATTTAAAGGAAAGTGTTAATTAACCTTGGCTGTCTTGGGGTAAAAAAAAAAAAAAAAAAAGGCTCTTAGCTTTTTACAAGGGTCTTCACCCGGTGAATGTTACTCCTTCTTGAGACTTCCACAGGACAAGTGAAAGATTATCCGGTGCTGTGTGACAGTAACATGTCCACTGTTACTCTTACTATTATCCCATAAGCGAGCCTACTTCCTCCCACAGGCTGCTTGCATACTGCCTGAGCTTCGGAATCACAGGGAGGGGCCCTGCATTCTCTATGCTGAGATAAAAAGCAGCAGGAGTTCACATATTTTTGTTTTCACACCCGAAGTTCACATCTATTAGATCCTTTTCCTTTATATCAGAAAAGAGTGGGAGACACGATTTAATTATTAAAACCAGTTAATGCGCCCTGCACAGTAGCTCATGCCTGTAATCCCAGCACTTTGGGAGGCCAAGGCAGGAGGACTGCTTGAGCCTAGAAGCTCAAGACAAGCCTAGAGAACATAGCAAGATCTCAATTCCACTAAAAATTAACCAGGCATGGTGGTGTGTGCCTGTAGTTGCAGTTAGTTGGGAGGCTGAGGAGAGAGGAGTGCTTGAGCCCTGGAGTCGAGGCTGTGGTGAGCCATGATCATGCCACTGCATCCAACCTGGGCAAGAGTAAGACCTCCGACTCAAATAAATAAACAAACAAACAAAACCAAATAATGAAAAGAATTACTTGTCAATTTATAGACATACTATTTAAAGGTTAAAGATTTATTATACATAAGAGTCTCAAATATTATTCAGGTATACAAATGACTAGTTCCACACACGGATCATCAATGTTTTTCCTATGGGAAAGTTTGGTGGCATCTGCCAACCCGCATGTGGCAGCTGGTAGCACGTGCATGAAGAGCTATCAGGAAGCCTCGTGTGATAAGGGGAAATTATTCACCAAGTCGCCTGGCCTGGCTCCCTTCACACTGAATCAGTGCATCAGGGCAAGTGATGAGTTGAACCTGTCTCCAGAGTCAATCCCTGGCTCTGCCCATGGCCAGCTCTCCCCTTTCCCCAGTGGAGGTCAGCAGGCCAGTCCAGGGCTGTCCCCACACTCACTCACCTGCCACTTGTTCCTCCACCAGGTGCTCCAGGGGCAGACGGATGGAGTCATGTTCCACTGTGCAAGTAATAAAATGGGGCTTGGCCCCCTCCACTGGATCGTGGCGCTCAACCATGTCGCCCTTTGAGGTTTGGTTTTCATGGAAATGTTTCACCATAGAATGGATTACTAAATTATTTGACTGCAAAGATACAGCAGAAAAAACAAAAATTGTCCTAAGAAGAGGGTTAGAGTAACAGTCTCTATTATTTTGTTTCGCAAATAGCACCAAAAAAAAAAGCTTCAAAGAAATTCAACTTCCTGAGTTGTACCTTTTGAAAGACTTGGGGTTTCAAATTTTCAAAAACTTGAGATTCATTTCTAAATTGTGTCTATTTTATTGTTAAGCAATATTATAAATTTTTAAATTTTATAAATCTGCCAAAAAGGAAAATTTCACCCAGGCAACCACTGCTGGTGGGGTATAAATTGTTACAATCTCTATTAGGGACCATTTGGCATATCTCAAGTAAGCCCTAGCCGGGCTCGGTGGCTCAGCCTGTAATTCCAGTGCTTTGGGAGGCTGAGGTGAGTGGATTGCCTGAGCCTGTGGGTTCGAGACCCACCTGGGCAACTAGGCGAGACGTCATTTCTACAATAAAAATCAAAAAATTACCCGGGCGTGGTAGCACGCACCTGTAGTTCCAGCTACTTGGAAGGCTGAGGCAGAAGGATCGCCGGAGCCCAGCAGGTAGAGGCTGCGGTGGCCGGGAGTAGCTACTGCACTCCAGTCTGGGTGACAGAGTGAGATTCCAACACGCACACACAAAAAAGTCAAATAAGCCCTATGACCCAGCAATTCTATTTCTGGGGCTTTCTTCCACAGCTCTAGTCACACTGAAACAAACTGATGTGTGTAAAGGTTTTCTACTAAGGGCAGCACTGTCTGTGACAACAAAGCATTGGAAAGCTCTTAAATGTCTATCGATAAGGGGAGCTTTTGTTAAATAAACATACAACATTCCCTCAATGGAACACAAGGCAGATGTAAAAAACACCAAGAAAATGCTCTATGTCCTGGTGGTCAAAGATCTCAAATATACTTGTCATTATTTAAGGAGGTGGCAAACATTATATATAGGATCCTATATTTTATATAAAAAGGAAGAAATACACGCACATTTACTTACACATGCAAAAAATACTTGAAAAGGCAAAAAGGGAAGAAGAAAAGAATATGCAAATCTACATGCATTTGTTTTTAATCTCTGGATGACACAAAATTAAATCATAACATTGGCCTCCTATGGGGAGAAGAGGTGAATGACTAGGGCTGGAAGTGGGAGAAGACTTAAAAAAACAAAACAAACAACTTTTTTTTCCTATTGTTAAGTACAGCAGAAAGGTATATAAAATAGAAATGTACAGTTTAATGAAAAAGCAAGCAGGGATTACTTGTGTATTCAAACACAGAGCCCTGCCCACATGGACGAAGCCCCTCCAGTGCCCTATGCCCTGCCCACCCCTCCCTGAGCTAATCTTCACCCTGATTTTCAGGGTAAACATTTCCTTGTTTTTCTATATACTTTTAACTTCTATGTAAGTATCCCTAAACAATATTGTCTGGCCTCTTTTTGACCTTCATATGAACGGAATTGAATTGAATTTTATTCTCAGTTAAAGATTTGATAAAACTATGTGAATAAAAAAATTTGATCTATTCAAATATCTGACAACATTCCACAATGGAACCATGTTAGATGCTGCTTGTACTGTGCTATGAGAGGTTCACATACTGCCAGGCTGTGCTCAGAAGACTCAAAATGCCACTGTGGCCCTGGGTCCCTGTGGTGACCAAAGGACCCCCTTAAATGGGACTGCAGGGCCACGGCAGCCACATGGAGCCGAGAAGGTACACCTGGGGGAAAACTAACAGGTACACCTTGGGAAGAACTGAGGCAGCCAATGTGTTTCATCCAGATCTGAGATGACTGAAATTAAATAAAGGTAAGGAGAGGTCAGATAGGCAACTCTGATATAATTCTTTTAAAAGGTCGGTGTTTCTTTAAAAGTGGCAGGTCATCACCTTGTAAAAAACACAGATACCCAACACAGCAACTCTGGTTCCATAAAAGAAAGGATTTCTTGTCTCCATGTGGCTGCAGTGGGCCTGCAATCCTATCTAAGGAGGTCCTTTGGTCCTATGGCATGCTCAACCTTTCCTGACCCCACCAAATCGTTGTGGCTCTGCTCTGCCAGGCAAAACTTGGTCTTTTGACTTCTTTTACTCCATATTATAAGAGCTATCCACTCTGCCGCATAAGGCTATGTGGTATTCCACTCTATGACTACATCACAAGGTATTAAGGTGTGTCCATTCTAATTCTGAAGGACATTTGAGTTGCTCCTGGTTTTCGGCTATTATGAACAAAACTGCTATGAACATTCTTGTACCTGTCCTTTGGTGCATGGCCTCATTTTCCCAGGATATACATACACCTGTGGGTGGAACTGCTAGCTGATAGGGCATGTATATATTCACCTTTTCCAGATAATGCCAACCAATGCTCCAAAAGGGCTTTCCAGTGACTCCTACCAGCATCATCCTTTGTCAAGGATCACTGGACTTCTTAATTTTTGCCATTCAGATGGATGTGTAGAGGTGTTTCATGCTGTTTACTCTTTCACTGATTACTTGTGGGACTGAGTACTGCTGTGTACGTAGAAACAATATTTAGGCTTGTTTGTGAAGTGTGCATTTAAGTTTCTTGTCCATGTTTCTACTGAATTATCTGCTTTTTAATGAGTTGTAGGTGTTCCTTTGTGATCTGAATGGTTGTCTTTTGTCAGTTATGTGTTGCAAATATCTTTTCCCACTGTCTAGCTTGTCTTTTTATTTTTCACAGTGTTGATAAACCAGTTTGTTTTGTTTTCGTTGTGATAGAATTCATCAGTGTTTTCTTTATGGTTAACACTTTCTGTATTTTATTAAAGAAATCCATCATTCTTAAACATCACAAAAATATTAACTTATGGCCAGGTGCGGTGGTCCACACCTGTAATCTTAGCACTTTGGGAGGCCAAGGCAGAATTGCTTGAGCCTAGGAGTTCGAGACTAGCCTGGGCGACACAGTGAGACCTCACCTTTACAAAAATATTTTAAAAATTAGCTGGGCATGGTGATGAACGCCTAAATTCCTAGTGACTCAGAAGCTAAGGTAGGAGGATCACTTGAGCCCAGGAGGTTGAGGCCATGGTGAGCCATGATTATGCCACTGCACTCCAACCTAGGTGACAGAGCAAGACTCAAAAAACAAAAAATTAACTTACCACCTAAAAGCTTTGTGAATTTTACTCTTCACAGTTCAGTCTTGAGAGGCAGAAGCCGAATAACCTTCTTCTTTGAGATTACACAATTGTCCCAGCCCCACTGCTAGAGACCATTCTCTTCCTACTCCATTCTCTTCCTGCTCCATCGTCCTCCCTCAGGCATGTAGGATGGCCTTATGATCTCATCGGACTCAGAAAAACATGATGCCAGGACAGCAGGCCCATCCTGGGACTGTCATGAGCACAGCAGGATGTAGGGTCCTCCTAGTCAGAGGACAAGGTGGACAAGTGTCCACCTATACACGGCTCTGCTCCTGGTATACTGTCTGTCCTAGCCTTGAAGCCACCCTGGCTTAATTATCAGAGCTTTATAAAAAGGCCTGACCTCTGGCAGAGCAAGTCCTCTCACGGTGCTCTCAATCTTCAGGAAGTTCTGACTATTATTAGTCTTTTGTATTTCTATACAGATTCGTGTGTAAAATTCCACCAAAAGTGTCAGAATTTTGATCAAGGCAGCAATAAATTCACACATCAATTTGGGAAAACTGGCATGAGTCTTCCAGCTTGAGAATTTACTGAGAATTTCTTTGAAGGCTCTCAGTAATATTTCTAACTTTTCAAATGGGTGGGGGTGGGTCTTATAAATTCTTTTTAAATAAATTTTTTCCTAAGCATTAAATATATATTTTTTGATGCTCTGGTAATGATTCGTTTGCTGCTGGCAAATAAATATCCAGTTGATTTTTATATCTAAAAATGTTCTTACATTTTCTTATCAGCTCTAACCATCTAGCTGTAGATCCTTTGGGGCTTTCTATATGGATAGTCAGTCAATTCACTAGTGGGTGACCAGTGTGCTCTCCCTTCTTCCAGTAAGGAAATGAGACAGTGAGAGTTACTAACTGAACAGACACCACACTGCCAATCATGTTGTCTTTGAGCATCTTCTATCAATTTAAAAATGAGAACCTTTGGAATGGGTCAATCCTCAAACTCTTAATAAGACCAAAACTTAGTAGGGATTAAAGGACTGATTCTATGGCAAAAATGAAGGGGAACCATCCCCCCGCCTTTTTTTGAGTTGGAGTCTCACTCCATCGCCCAGGCTGGAGGGCAGTGGCATGTTCACGGCCACCCCAGCATCAATCTGCTGGGCTCAGGGGATCCTTCTGCCTCAACCTTCCAAGTAGCCGGAACTACTTGGAAGGACGTGTGCTACCACGTCCAGCTAAGTTTTTGATTTATTGTAGAGATGAGGTCTCGTCAAGTTGCTCAGGTTGTTTTTGAACCCGTGGGCTCAGGCAATCCCCCCACCTCAGCTTCCCAAAGTGCTGAGATTACAGGCTTGAGCCACCATGCCCAGCCAAAACCCCTTTATTGAAATAAAAATGTAGGCCGGGCACTGGTGGCTCATGCCTATAATTCCAGCACTTTGGGAGGCTGAGGTGAGAGAATTTCCTGAGCCCATGGGATCGAGACCAGCCCAGGCAACTTGGCAAGACCTCATCTCTACAATAAATCAAAAAATTAGCTGGGTGTGGTGGCATGTGCCTGTAGTTCCAGCTACTTGGAAGGCTGAGGTGGAAGGATCACCTGAGCCCAGCAGGTCGAGGCTGTGGTGGCCATGACCATGCCACTGTACTCCAGCCTGGATGACAGAATGAGACTCCAACTCAAAAAAAAAAAAGAAAAAAAGAAAAAAAAATGCAAAGCAAGTACTTTACAGATATCCTATCAGTCGCCTGGAATTGACTTATAGGATAAATACTGGCTAATTATCTCAAGCTAATTTGCAATATAGCAAGACTATGCATTGCTCTTTCTTTAAAAGAAAATAATAGACAGAGGGAAGCATTTTCTACGTTTTATTACAACTTATAGCTAGAAGAATGTGAGTCTGTTTAGAAACTTTACCTCAGTACCCCCAGAAGTGAAGATTATGTCTTGAGGCTTCCCACCTATCATCTTCGCAAGGCTTTCCCGAGCTGCATTTATAATCTCCTTGGCTTTTCTTCCTTGAGGGACCAAAAAGGAAATTAATTAATATTGCTTCATCAAAGCCAACCAAGGCATTTAAAAGAACAACCACACACAAAGGAGTAAGATATCTGAGTGGACAATTCTAAGACAAAACATGTCTCCTTAAGGTGAATACAACAATATGCTACAACCTAGAAATAACCTGGCAAAGGGGCAGCAATAAGATATTAGCAAATCAGTGAAAATGACTGAGAGTTAAGTAACTTAGTAAGATCCAGAAACAAACATGGGAGGATGCCTGGGAACCCTCAAGTTCCCTAAGACATGGCTGTCTTCTTACCAGATGCTAGAGGGGAGGGAAGCTGTGGCCATCTACCTTGCTTCCCATTCATCAAGACAGGAGAAGGAAAGGATGGAATAAGTTGCTTAAGATCACACTGCAAAACAACAAAAATAAGCAAATATAGAACTCATGACTCCTCAACACAAAGTCCAATGCCATATCTCACATTTCAAGTTGCCCAAGGTATACCTGTACTAGAAGGGTTCCTGTCTCGGGGACATATCTGCTTTTCAACAGGGGCCATAGGTCCAGCTATTACTCAGTTTCATCGGCAAGTAGGGAAACACAGAAACCACACTTCATGCGGCAGAGAAAGCAAGGTTCTGAGATGGGGATTCTGAAATTTTGGTGACCATTCTTAGTGCACAGACCAGTAGTCTCCAAACTTCTGGACAATTTAGTCTTTTTATTTATTTAGAGTCAGAGCCTCACTCTGTCACCCAGGCTGGAGTGCAGTGGCATGCTCACAGCCACCACAGCCTCAATCTGCTGGGCTCAGGTGATCCCTCTGCCTTAGCCTTCCAAGTAGCTGGAACTATAGGTGTGCACCACCACACCCAGCTAATTTTTGATTTATTGTAGAGTCAAGGTCTCACCATGTTGCCCAGGCTGGTCTTGAACCCACGGGCTCAGGCAGTCCTCTTGCCTCCACCTCCCAAAGTGCTGGGATTACAGGCATGAGCCACCGTGCCTGGCTCGAACTATTCAGTCTTATTTGTAAAAAAAAAAAAAAAAATTTGAATAGACAATACCAAAACATATATAGTACAAAATGTCATAAAAAACAGAAATAGAGAAAGATGAGATAAAAATAAATATGCAAATTAATTCTTACAATCCTTAACACTACTGTACAGATTTTTAGTAAGGGTCTATAGTGTTTAGGAAAACCTAGTCATTTTAATTGGTGAATGTCATAAGTATTGTAATAAAGTGACAGTAAACCTGGGCAGGGCTACCGCCCTTAGCTCCACTTGGAACATCCTTCAAATCCTGTTCTCCAGATATATTCCTATTCTTCCTCTAAGACTGCTGAAAAGCTGCCCCCTGTGAGAAGCCCCTGGGCTGCTGCCAAAGGAGTAGCCCCATCCCTGCTTCCTTTCCCACCTTTGTCCCCAGGGTGATCGCTGTTGTCAGTCTGGTATAGAACTTCTTAACTAACATTCCTTCACTTAATGTAATTATATACCTTCACCTAAGTGTTTTACAGGGTTTTCTTTTCAAAAATGAGTTTCATACTTTACATACTGCTTTGCAAAAACTTCCTTTATTCCTCTCATCAATAAGTCCGGAGGCTTTTCTAAATGAGGATGCATGAGGCTACCTCACTAGCACTACTGACCTATCAAACTGGCGAAAGTCAGAAGACTACACACTTTCAGTCTTGGGGGGATGTGTAGGGACCGAGGGGCCCATATACGGCGGGAAGGAACAGAAAGTGGCACAACCACTTTGAAGTGAGTTAGGTAGGGCCTTAAAAAGTCAAAAGTGCTGGGCGTGGTGGTCATGCCTGTAATCCCAGTGCTTTGGGAGATGGAGGTAAGAGGATTGCCTGAGTCCAGGGATTCGGAGACCAGCCTGGGCAACTTGGAGAGATCTCACCTCTACAATATATAAAAAAAATTAGCTGGGCGTGGTGGTGCCTGGCTGTGGCTCCAGCTACTTGGAAGGCTGAGGCAGAAGGAACACCTGAGCCCAGTAGGTCAAGGCTGCAGTGGCCGTAGTATGCTACTGCACTCCAGCCTGGGTGACAAAGTGAGATTCCAACTCAAAAAAAAAAAAGTCAAATGTACACCTACCATATGATTAGTCATTTTACTCCTAAGTATTTATGGTAATTATGGTAAATACCCAAGAGAAAACATAGCAGATGTCCATCCAAAAACTTGCCATGAATGTTCACAGCGGCGTTATTTATAATAGCCAAAAACCGGATACAGCTCAGGTGTCCACCAATGGATGAATGCATAAGCTGTAGTACCGCCATGAAATGGATTACCACTCAGCAACAAGGAGGAACAAACTGCTGACACACCCAACATGGATGAACCTCAAAATAATCACAATGATTAAAAGAAGCTAGACCAAAAAAAAACTGTAAGATTCAACCTTTATAAAAATCTAAACAAGGCACACTAATCCACAGTGACAAAAAGCATCTCAGTTGTTACCTGGGGATGAGTGAATGGAGTGATTATGAAGGGGACCAGAAAACTTTTGGGAGTGATAGACACATGTGCTTCACTCTGATAGTGAACACCTGACTATTTCACTGGCCATGATTCTCAAATGACTCAAAAAACAAACAAAAAACCATGTAAATTCAGAAAGAATGAGATCAAGCAAATATGGTAAAACTGTTGAATCTAGGTGTGTCTCTTTCAACTTTTCTGTGTTTGAAATTTACACAGTAAGTAGGAAAAATGTACCACTGTCAGTGCAATTAAACGTAAAGAGTAGACTTAGGAAACCACAGAGAGGAAAATCATCACACGAGGAACCTAGCACAAGATAATGATCAAAACTGAGCATCTGGGAGAGCTCTGAATTCCTGTTGAAAAAGCCAATGGGATGGGTGCGTGTGGAGCTCACTGTCCAACATAGCAAGGCTGTTCCTCACATCAGAGTCCCTTGTTCCTCTACCTCCCCCAGGTACAGCCCTTTCTTCTTCCCCTTTGCTGCCTCCACTCTTCTTCCCATGCCCTTCTGGACCACTGTGGTCAGGTGCTCAGGCTCCTTATCTACCCTTACCAAGGTCCCGCCATGGCCAAACCCAAACCAAGGTGCATTTTGGTCCTCTGTCACCCCACCTTCTATCCCACCCCCATCCTCCCTTCAGCAGCTCTCCCCCAGGTCTACTCTTTCTTCTCAGAAACATTTCTTCAGGGGTACCAACTCCTTCCCGCTGAGGCCAAGGCTCCTTAGTCTCCTTACAAGGTCCAGCTCCAATTCCAGATTGCAGGGGGCCCTGTGTCCTGATTGGGTCCTCAGAATCCTGCCCCCCTTAGCAACTTAAGACTTTGACTCCCAAGTTTGCAACCCAGACCTTTCTCAACTCCACTCACTCCCGACATTCAGGAGGCATCTGAAACTACACACACCCAAAGATGAATGCTTATGTCCCCAAACCTGCTCCTCTCAGTCTTTTCTAAATGGCAACTCAACCTTTGCAGGGCACAGGCCAAAAGTGCTGGCTCTTTTCTTTCTCGCACCCCATCCTTAAACCACTGCCGAATCTGGTAAACTCTGCTGCCAAAACATGCTCAGAGTCTGATCCCGCCTCTCTACTGCCCAGCTGCCGATGGAGTCAAGGCTGCTGCTGCAAGTTTCCTAGTAGGCCCCTCAACTCCACCGACCCTCACCGGGTTTCATTCTCCAAGTGGTGGACAAAGTAATGCCTCAAAAGCCCAAATATGTTTTGTGCACCATGCTTTATCCCTCACCCCTGAACAGAGCTGGGCAAACAGCAGGTGCTTAGTCAATACTGGTTGAGTTAGCTGTTCTCAAAATTTGGTTCAGGGAACCCTAGGGATCCTGGACCAAAGCCTTTTCAGGGGTTCCGCAAAGTCAAAACTATTTTCATGATGATACTAAGGTGTCATTTGTCTTTTTCACGCCCATTTTCTCACGAGTAAAGCCTTCCAGAAACTACATGATGTAAATATTGCAAAGACTGGATACAGTGGTAGACGTGAGATGCAAGCATCTTCTATCAGCAAACATTAAAAGAGCTTTTCAAATGTACAATAATGCAATTTTTCTCACTAAATTTATTCGATTATGGAAATAATAGTTTATTCTTCATCTAAAAGTTTGTGTAATAAGCTTATTACTATTTTTAATGAATTACTAAATACAGTTTTTAAGGTTCTCAGTTTTAATTTCAAATATAGCAATGCTTACATGTAAAATGTTTACATATACAATACACATAAACAAAAGCTCTTTGGACCTTAGTAATTAAATTTTTAAGACTGTAAAGAGGTCATGAGACCAAAAAATTTGAGCAACCCTGGGTTAAATCACATCACCCTTTGCTCAAAATCCTTAGGGCAGGCTGCATCTTGCCCCTGTGAACACAGGGCCCTCACAGTGCTGCCCCCCCAAACCTCTCGAACCCCATCCTCACCCCACATCCTCCTGTGGTGGCTGCCTGGGCCCTGACACCTGTCATCACACAAACCCGCAGCCTTGTTGGCTGCACAAATGCCAGTCACCAGAGAGGCTTCCCAGGCCATCCTCCCCTCCCTGGCTCTGCCAAGCCCTGGGTCCAGCTCCACAGTTCACCACAGGACAGTTTTCATATCCCATATTTGCATCTGGTTGTTTGTTCTTTGTCTGTCTCCAAATCCCTGCATGCCCCTAAAATGGAAGCTCCACAAGGGAGGGAACACTGTTTTAGTCCCTGCTGTGTTCACTGGGCACAGAGCAAGCACAGTGAACAGTACAGAAGTACTGAATGCAAGGGCTAACTGAAACACACACTAGGCAGATTTTACATGTCATCAGGCAGGACCTGAATCCTTGGAAATGAGTTCAAGGCTAACTAAGTCCCACGGAATACATGACTGGCACAGTCCTTAGGGAACTGTTGTGCAATATGGGTGCTGATATGGGAAACGCCAGAATCTGCAGTCAAAAGAACTGGGTTCCATCGGGGACCAGCCATGTGATACCATACACCACCCGACTGCCTTGGGAGTGGGTGCCTCACCGTACACCTGGAATAGTCTGCCCTGCCTTCCTTGCAGGTCATCACTAATAACACGTAGGTAAAGCACCACAAATCTAATTCACTGCTCAAACCCAATGATATTCTCCCAGTAGAATCCCATGAACAAAGGGCATTTGTCCAAACAAGCATCCCAGATGACTGGGATGGAGGAGCCAGAGCACATCAGATGAAAGCATGTGCTTGTTACCATTTCAGTGCAGGAACAGGAGAGAGGCACAAAAAGGGAACACTAAAGTGACTCCAATTTTTGAATTCACAAAGCTAACAGTTACCTTCAGAGTTTAAAAGAGATGTCCCCCTAAACCTTGGATTTGGTAAACTTTTCTTTCCTTTTTTTTTGAGTCAGAGTCTCACTCTGTTGCCCAGGCTGGAGTGCAGTAGCATGATCACAACTCACCATAGACTCAACCTTTTGGGCTTAGGCAATCCTTACACCTTTAGCCTCCCGAGTAGCTGGGACTACAAGTGTACACCACCACACCAGACTAATTTTTTTTATTTTTTGTAGAGACAAGGTCTCGCTGTGTTGCCCAAACTGGTCTTGAACCCCTGGGCTCAAGTAATCCTCTCATTTCGGCCTCCTAAAGTGCTAGGATTACAGGCATGAGCCACTGCACCGAGCCTACTTTTATTTCCATTACACTATACATGGCTACTGTAGATAAGTAAAAAACAGGAAACAAAAAGAAAATACTCAAAACCTCCTATAATCCCCTTCCTCAAAGAAAACTGTTGTTAATGCATTGGGAGTGCCTCCCACCTATACTGGGACAGCTGGTGGTCCTTACCACCCATTTTCCCTTCCTACCACAGGAGCAAGGCCCTCATTTCCAGCTTGTACACAGAACCCAGAAGTCAGACTATGTTTCTCAACTTACACTGTAATTACGTGTGAAAACAGGACCAAGATCTGGGCTAAGCAGTTACAATCAACTGCCAGACATGTCCTTGAAGGACTCAAGTATACCTTTCTCCTTCCCATTGGCGGGACTGCTGATGTGACGGCTTGAGCTGGAGCAGCCATCTTGACTACAAGGGTCAAAGGGCAAGTCGAGGACAGAAGAGGAATAAGACAAAATCCCTAATAATATTGGAGCAACCACATGGGTCCTGGACTGTGTGAAATAAATAAACTGCAAGCTGTTTAAGCCACTGTTATTTTGGGCTTCCTGTCTCTCACAGCAAAATTATATAATACTTTTCCATACCTGCCCCCACACAATGTTTTCTTTATGGGGGAGAGGTGAATACAGTAAGTCACCTACATACAAACCTTCAAGTTTCAAGCTTTCAAAGTTGTGAATGTGCATTTGTATGGCCAATCATGTAAGTTAGTTCATGTGTCTAGTGTACTTTTCTTTTTCTTCTTTTTTTTTTTTAAAATGGGTCTCACTCTGTCGCCCAGGTTGGAGTGCAGTGGCATGTTCACAGCCACCCCAGCGTCGACCTGCTAGGCTACGGAGATCTTTCTACCTCAGCCTGCCAAGTAGCCAAACTACAGGCATGTGCTACCATGCCCAGCTAATTTTTTTTTAATTTATTGTAGAGATGAGGTCTTGCCAAATTGCCTGGGCTGGTCTCAAACCTGCGGGCTCAGGCAACACACTTGCCTTGGCCTCCCAAAGTGCTGGGATTATAGGCTGTGCCATTGAACCCAGCCTACTTTTCCAGATATTGTACCGTAAGATTAAAACTGTTTTATTTTGGGGTTTGTTTGTTTTTAATGTATTATTTGTGTGAAAAGTATTATAAACTTATTACAGTACAGTACTATATAGCCGATTGTGTTAGTTGGGTACCTAGGCTACCTTTGTTGGACTTACAAACAAATTGGACTTACAAATGTGCTCTTGTAATGGAACTTGTTCGTATGTAGGGCATTGAAATCATTCTGCATCACCTGTTTTATAACACGCCTTTTATATCTGAACCAGATGTGAATATCATTCTAGGTCATTGACAGAGTCCACATTATCACTTTGGTAGGGTTCAGAACTCCACTATGGGGCTTCACATGCTTTATAGTCAGTCCTCAATTGATGAACATTGAGGTTATTTCCAGTTTTGATTTTTTTTTTTGCTATTATAAGCAAGGCTGTGATAAACACCTCAAGTATCTAAAATCTTTCCCCCCATTCTCAATACATTTCTGCATATAAATTTCCCTCAAAGACTTTACATAATAATACTGTAAAAATAATTGAAACATTCTATGATAAAGTCATTTTCTTTTCTTTTTTTCTCATTTCTACCTGAGTAGCAACAGAAAGTGAACTGTAATGCATTTTTGAGTTTATGATTCTGAACTTGTGGAAACAAAGGCTGTTCAGGCAACCCAGCCACTGACAGGCTCATTCAAGTCAAGAACATTATTTCTCCCAGAGAGTTTACTCCCAAGCTTCTTCATTGGGGTCCCCGGGCAGCAGACCGGTACCAGTCTATGGCCTGTTAGGAATGTAGCTGCACAGCAGGAGGTGAGTAGCGGGCAAGTGGAGCTCTGCATCCTGTCAGATCAGCAGTGGCACTAGATTCTCACAGGAGCACAAACCCTATTGTGAACTGTGTATGCGAGGGATCTAGGTTGTGCATGCCTTATGAGACTCTAATGCCTGATGATCCTCTTCCAATCCTGTCTGTGGAAAAACTGTCTTTCACGAAACCAGTCCCTGATGCCAAAAAGGTTGCAGACTGCTGTTCTTCATGATAAAATGCCTTTTATCAGCATGTCATTATTCTTCATATTTTCACGTTTAATACATCAGAAAGTTCAATTTTGCTCAGAGAGACTGGATATAAGGCAATGTCCAGAGGATTAGCCAGAATACATGGCCCAGATAAACCAGCAAACACATTAATGAATGACTAATACTTGAGTTGAAAAGCTTTCAGTTACCAAGTTAATAAGCAGGTAGAGAGAAAAACACATGAAACCCTTTAAAGTAGGACACAAGCACTACTAAATCCTAGGGCCTGGCAATATTCTGTGTGAAGTTATTTTAGTTCATCATAATCCACAATTAACACAGTTTATCTTAATTATCCGTAATAAACATTAAATAAGAAAGTCAATACATTAGCCTGCACCTGTGGCTGAAAGACTTAATGTAACTCTGCTATATAACTATGACCTGAAACAAATTATTTTCCAAACCTCCAATTTTATGTTCTACATTACAACAAGAATAAATCAGAAACAAATAAGAATATTTGGAGCTAAAGTAATGAATGAAGAATTAATTTTCATTTTTAAAAAAGGCCAGGATTATATGTGATCCTGATGATTTAAAAAATGTATTTTTCAAATTCTGGAAGAACTGACCGAGCTAGATACATGAAGGGTTTAACAGGTATTGCTCTTACAAGTAACTCTCAGTAGACACCTTTGTCGTCTGGGAAAGGGTGACAGGAGAGCTTGTTAAAGATTAAACATTAAAGGCCAAAGATTACAGTATCAACAAGGCTCAGCTTACAAATTTGGACTTCTCAGATAAAAACTCCAAAAATTATAGCTAAAGATTTGCTGTTTACAGAAAATCTACTCAAAACAAAGCCATCACACGTGGGTGTGTGATTTCTCGAAGAGCCCCTCTGCCCCATTCTCTCTGATCTGTGAACCTGGGCCATGTGTGCATCTTCTAGAATTACCTGCTGGATAAGGACTGCTGGGATTTCCCCAGGCCTCCTTCATGGCCTGGGTCACGGCCTGGATGACTTCTGGCTCCAGGGGAGTGGTTGCATTGTAGTCCATATAAACTTTCCTGAAGAAAACAAAGACACATATTAAGGAAAAGGGGATGGAATCCAGGAAACACAGCTGCTATGTGTCTATCATGTCAGTAGGAGCAAATAGCAGCAAGAGGGTGTCCCCTGCATAAACACTGCAGGCTTCCACAAACTGCACTTGGGAATCTCCAGACCATCATTATTCACGGAAAAATGTATGCACAATTTCTAGTAATCTAGTATCTCTCAGTTTCTTTTATAATTGATAGGACTTAGATTTTCATCTAGGTTTTCAAAATTTCTTGTTAGCCAGATGTGGTGGTGTGTGCCTATAGTTCCAGCTACAGGGAATGAGTTAGAAGCTGCAGTGTGCTATAACTGGACTGTAAATAGCTACTATATTCCAGCCTGTGCAGCACAGTCAGACTCCACCTCTAAACAACCAAAAAAGCAAACAACATTTCTTTCTACCCCTTGGTAGGATTAACGGTCTGTTGGGTCAATTATTCATCTGACTGTTACAATGGACATACTGCCAGCCTCTCCTCCTGATGAAGGAGGGGAACAGCTGCACATTTCAGAGGGAACTTTTTTGCCTGCTGTTTTAACTTCATCAGTGGTTTATTCCCCTGTATCTGGTTTTGCAATGGCCTGTGAGGCTCCTGGGGATCCAGGTGTCTGTTTCCTCCTACTTCCCCCTCCCTGTCAGCACCCACCACACTGGTCTCTGCCTGGGACAGGTGTGCTTTGGCCTCAGACCTTTCCCTTTCAGTTTCTTTGCCTAGAATGACCATGCCCTGCCCCACCTTACTTTTTTGGGTCCTTGTTCCAACCTGTCTGTCTCCATGAGGCTCCCAGAAGTTCTATTTATAGTTGTGATTGCCTATGTCCCTCGTTCCCCAGCCTCCCCTGTTCCCTTGTCTCCCTTCTTTCTGAGCAGTATCATCATCACTGGATGTGTTCTTTGCTTACTAGGTAACTCAACAGAGTGATCGAAGTGCAGCTCCTGGGGCAAGTGGGCTTTTTTTCTCTCACTGCTCTGTCACCAGCACTAAAGACCATGGCTGCCACACAGCAGAGGTTTCATTTACAAGATGACAAAGTAAATGCCATGGAAAATACAAATCCCTGAAAAGATCCATCACTAAGTAAAATTTATCTTTATATCTTTTTACTAATATCAAAAACCTTCAGAAGCCATCAGAAATAGAAATAGTAGGATTTGGTTTAAACACCTGCCTAATACTGTTTACCTGATTTTTAAGTAAACAAGTGTTTAAACCAAATCCACATGAAAACTCAGATACAATAACAATAACCATGGCTATTAAGCCAAAAAGCGCGGAGAAAATGTGTATTCATTTTAATGCAGCATCTTTTTTGTTCAAAATCATCCAATAGGTACAAGGCTTTGGGGCTTTGGGAAGTTTGATTACCTACCCGTGACCACTAGGGCATATCTCAGCTCTGCTATGACTTCGCATATACACTTAAATCTGTGCTTTCCTATAAATAAGTATTCCAAAATACTTCAAGCTAGTTAGTGTTTCCTGAGCGACTACAATTTTCAATCTGTTACTCGGTTGAACTAATCTATGGCTTTAATTTCAGATTAATATAGATTATTTTGCTGCATTATTTCCTGCTTCCTTAAAGTGCTCTCAATATTGGATGAGAAAGCTAAATTTTATTAGTTTCATAACCAAAAAATAAAAAAGCACAGGAATTTCCTCTCACTGTTTCTCTAGGGGACATTTCCCCAGCTCCCTTCAGTCTGTCCCAACCAAAGTAGAATGCCTAATGAAAGAGACCCATGATTTAGGCCTGAACCCAAAGGTTAAAGACACATACACCCCTTCGTATTCTAGGCATGGGTAATGTGCAAGATTTTTTTTTTTTAACGAGTTAATACATTCTTACATGGAGAAGACTCACAAACAAGAAATGCACACACACACACACACACACCCGCCTTTCTCAGACTTAAGAAGCAGTATGGACACCAAGTGCTCCCTGTCTCTACCCTGTTTTCCAGATGCTCAGGCCAGTAGCCCAGAGACATAATTCTCAGTCCCTCCTTTCCCCCACACCAATGCATCAGCAAATCCTTTGGGTTCTGTCCATACCACACCTCCTTACCAGATTATCAAGATTCCCAACCGGTTTCCCTGCTTCCTTCCCTATCATACATCCATTCTACCCCTACTTTCTAGAAAGCAGCCAGAAGGACTTATCTAAAATATAATCAAATTGCATCACTCCCCTGCTCAAACCTCCAAGGGTCCCATCATGCTTAGAACAAACCCCAAAGTCCCTTCTGGGCTCTGTGGCTCTGCCCGCGTCTCTCCCTCAAGCCTCGTCCTTTCCGGCCACATGGACTACCTGCTGCCCTGAACCCTCTGCCCTCCGAGCCTTTGCAATTGCTGCCCACTCATCCTGGAATGCTCTTCTTTCCTAGAACTTGTAAGCCTGACTCCTAGATATCACTCAGGTTTCAGTCTAAGTGTCAGCTCTCGGCAGCCCTTCCCAGGTGACGCCTCACATCCGCTTGTTCTGCAGCCTGCATCCCTGATCTAGGCCTCCCTCGAACACATCTCCGCGGGACACCCCGGCCCCCCGAGAGTGACCATGGGTCGGCCGCCCCTTCTGTCCTTCCCGGGAGGGACGCCCCACCTCCGAGAGTGGCCACTGGCCAACCTCCGTCCCTCCTAAGCGGGTCATCCTACCCCCAAGAGTGACCACTGGCCGGGTGCCCCTTTGCCTTCCCGGGGGGGTCCTCCCAAGAGTGGCCACCGGATGGCCACCCCTTCCGTCCTTCCCGGGCGGGATCCGTCATGCACAAGAGCGACCACGGGCCAACCGCCTCCTCCGTCCTTCTCAGGAGGGACCCGCTCCCCGCGATCCGAGAATGCCTTTCGGTCCTCCCAGGGCCGGACAGCCGGATTCCTCGTCCCAGGACGCCTGGAGGGCTTCTCGGAGGAGGGCGCTGGCTGCCTCCCGCCCTCCGCTCATAGCGCGCACCTATCCGTAGGGCTTTTCGCTTGGCGGCCAGCGGGCGGACTCGCCGCGCGTCCCCGCGCATTCCTTCTCGACGCCGCCGTCGCCTCCATCCCGGCGCCACCCCAGCCGGGTTCCCACCCCACCTGCGCGCCGGCTAAGCCGCCCCAGAGCGTGGCGGGGAGAAGGTGGGGCCGCGGGGCCGGGGGCGCATCCGGATTGGCTGACGGGTTCACCCCCAGCCAATCCGTGTGCTCCAGAGGGCCGCCGTGCACCCAGCGTGAGCGCTTGGGCAGCATAGTCAATCTGATTGGCTGCACGGGATCAGGTGACGGGCGGGGGAGCCGGGCTTGGCAAAGAGGGTCTCCGCTGAGCCGGGAGTGTGGTGCGTATTCTCCTGGCTCCATGAGCTTCACCGCCCCTTCACCTTCTTGGGACTCCCCCATGACCTTCGCTTTCCAAGTCAAGGCAGCTAACAAGCTGGCAGTCGGCGTGAGAGCAGGAGGTGGCTGAGAGCTGGACGCGAAGAGCCGCCGGCGGCGGCGACTAGCTGTCCAGGCGCCTCGGTGCTCGCGGCAGTCATTCGGTGCCTCCGCTGTCTGCTGTGTAGCCCAGGCTGGTCTCGAACTTAAATCCTCAAGCGATCCTCCCGCCTCGGCCTCCCAAAGTACGGGATTATAGACATGAGCCACTGCGCCCTACCGGGATATTTATTTACAATGAAAAATCATTGTAGATTTTCATGCTGATATAAGTAATAGAAAGAGATACTTAACTCAGTGGTGGTAACATCTTTGGAAACTATACTGTAATATCACAACCAGGATATTGACCTTGGTACAATTCATTGTTCTTATTCACATTTCCCCGGTTTCACTTGTACTCATTTGTATATTTAGTCCTATGCAACTTTTCGGCATGTGTACATTTGTGTATCCACCACCACAATCAAGATACAACCGTCACATCTTGACATATATCCTTAGTATTACCCTTTTTTTTTTTTTTTTTTGAGTTGGAGTCTCACTCTGTTGTCTAGACTGGAGTGCAGTGGCTGCTCCCGGCCACTGCAGCCTCGACCTGCTGGGCTCCGGCGATCCTTCTGCCTCAGCCTTCCAAGTAGCTGGAACTACAGGCGCTGCGCTACCACACCCGGCTAATTTTTTTGATGTATTGTAGAGATGAAGTCTCACCAAGTTGCCCAGGCGGGTCTCGAATCCGCGGGCTTGGGCAATGCACTCGCTTCGGCCTCCCAAAGCGTGGGATTACAGGCTGAGTCACTGAGCCCGGCCAGTATTACTCTTTTATAAACAAATCCACCCACCTCCTCCTTTCCACTCCTGTCTCAAACTCCTGCTAGTGGAAACACTAGCATGTTTTCCATTTCTAAAATTTTGTTTTTCCAAATATGTTATAGAAACGAAAGTACACAGCATATTACCTTTTGAGATTGGTTATTTTTAACTTAGCATGATTCCAAGTTGCCATGAGTCTCAAGTTTTTCTTTTTCTTTTTTTTGCATTAAAGTCTCACTCTGTTGCCCAGGCTAGCGTGCAGTGGCACACTCACAGCCACTGCAGCCTTGACCTGCTAGGCTCAGGCAATCCTTCTGCCTCCGCCTTCCAAGTAGCGGGAACTACAGGCACTCAAATTCCACTTTCCACTGTTGAATAGTACTCCAGTATCTGTGTGTACCACAGATTGCTTAATTCACAAGTTGAAGGACACCTGTGCTGATTCCAGTTTATGGCTATTATAAATAAGGTTGTTATGGACACTGGTGTAGAGGTTTTTCATGTGAACATAGGTTTTCAATTATCTCATATAAATGGTCAGGGTTGCAACAGCTGGGTCATATTGTAATTGCATGTTCACTGCAATTACCATAATGACTCAGCAATTGAAATTTCCGACTATGACTGTGGATTTGTCTAATTCTCCTTTCAGCTTTATCAGTTTTTACTTCATGCATTTTGAGAGTCTGTGTTGTTGGTGCATACTCATTTAGGATTATGTCTTCCTGGTGATGAGTCT